AGTGCAGCTTGGCAGTCACTCTCCCTAGAGGGGACTGCACAGTGGGACATTAACTTTAGGATGATAGGCCCTGACTCTGAATTCCAGCTCTGACACTCCCTAGCTCTGGACCCTAGAAAAGCTCTTCAACTTTAATGACCCTTAGTTTCTCCTTGTGAAAATGATTACCTTGAGAAACAGGTGTGATTGTAAAGTCAGGGGTCCACAATCGATGCTTAACTATTGTACAGAATATGCTTGTGCAATGAAACACATGAGCACCTGACTCTCACAAAGAGCCCCACACTGGGTACTGGCTGTGAGTTGGTGAATTGGTCACGATGGACTCCAGGTTGTGCTGTACAACAAACACCACCAAATCTTAATGACTGAATATAGCAGAGATTTCCTTTTCTGTCTTGCCACGACTCTGGTATGTGTAGTTGCTCAGGGATCCAGGTGGCCAGGTCACATGCTCCCATGATCACTATGGCCAAGGAAAGATAATGTGGGGATGGATTGTCAAGCTTCCACTTGGAAGTGACACATGGCACTCCCCTCCATGTTCTGTTGGCCAAACCAAGTCATGTGGCCATGTTTACCTTCAAAGCTGCAATCAGGCCATATGCCCCAGGGTACACCAGAGCAGCTGTGAACAGCCTAACAATGATCAAGGCCAGCCAATTTATTTCCAGATATAAGGAGCTTTGATATGACATAGCTCATGACCAACTTGTTCCAGGATTGAGCCCTTAAATGTGTGGTTTATGGTTTTGCCTGCCACTTTGTCCTAAAAGAGGCCCTGTCCTGTAATTTTCAATGGGCTCAGGCTCAGCATGTGGGTAGGGTCACATGTACAAAGACTCTCTGGGAATAAACTGTGCCAACTAGTAGCGACAGGTCAGGATCTCTGATGCACCTATTTGGTGGGTGACAAAGGTCATTCTGTCTGGCATCAGTGAGGTCTTAGGTTCTACAGTCACTAATATTGTCATTTGTTCCCACTCTGAAAGCCAAGTACAAGCATGGCCCTGCTGTTGATGACCCTCCTTTCAGGTCAGAGAGTATCTCACATGGGATGGCTGTCACTGGGGTGCAAGGCCAGGCTTGTTCTGACACAGCAAGCACAGGCCCTACTCAACACCAGCTCAATGGTTGCACCCTGCAGTAGAAGTTAGTTAGCCCTGAGTCTCCTGGAGTGAGGCCCAGAGTTGTCTCATTCAGGACTTAACTCAATGACATGGCAAGAGGACACATCTGTCCACTTCCTGGAGGTGAGGGGCACCCCTTAGCTGAGTTTTTCAGGGTTGGGACACCACACTCCCTCCTTCTTATCCTCGCTCCCTCTCAGGCCTCCCCAAGGAGGGGTAAGGGGTCTGACTGGGACTGTAGAAAGAGGCGTGGGCTGGAGAGGGGGATATTTGTCTCCTTCAGAGCACTAAAGGAGCTAGGGCACTTAGCAAGTATGTCGGATCAGAGGCGGAAGCCCCCCTCAGGCAGGCGCCCCACCTGCTTTCCCTGCACCCCCGCTGACTCACAGTCGTCCTGAGAAGAACCCACGCAGTGACAAACTCTGAGTGCTGGAGACGCACAGAAAGAGGACTCCACAAAAGAGTCCTGTGAATTCTGTCATCTGAATCTCATGACAAGGCTGTGGCAGTGGGCGGGAAACCAAGACTCAGAGCGGTCACCCAGCTCATCCCAGGTTCCCAGCAAGCTGTGGATTCCCAGGTCAGACCCTGGGCTCCTGACTCCTCCCCATTTGCAGGAAAGAGGAGGGCCCAGGGGCAGTGGCCAGTACCCATGGCAAAAGTGGCTGCATGAGGCCAAAAGCAGCTCTGGGCTGAGGAAGGGCCTGCCAGCTGGAGTTACTGATTTGAGACTTCCGCAAGAGGAATGGGAAGAATGAAGGTCGTCCCTGGCTCAGTCCCACAGAGTTGAAGGCCACTTGCAAAGGCAGAAACAGAAAACGTTACACATCCTTGGGAATCCAAGGTTGGCATCAGTGGATGTCATAAAAGGCTCACAAAGTCCATTCAGCTGCTTCTCCCCCTCTCCCACTCTTTCCCATCAAGCTGTGTCAGAACTGCAGGCCACGTAGCTCAGGAGTTGGAGAAGCCTCAGACTCGGCTAACTACACCCTAAGATGACCCGCCTCAGCTTCCTCAGGTGTAAGTAGGGGCTGGTTACACAGCAGACACCTGATCACTGTCCCCATCCCAGTCTGGGAAGCACTGCACTGCTAGGTGGTGGGGGGCGGTGGGGGGTACAGGTCTTCTGTGCTGTCTAGAAGGCACAGCCAGGGCCCTGTGAACACCTGACCTCGGAGAGGAGAGATCCACACGCTGCATCAGGAACCATGTTAGTGCTAATGCGGCACCTGTCAGGCCTGGCCAGAAAGCTCTAGAGGGGCCTCCACCTGCCTCCTCATTGTGGTCTCTCCCCTCTCCAGCCCACCTCCCTCCAGGACACACAATTGATGTCATGAGGTGAGAAGGACAGGCCAGGGTAGTCCAGGCTTAGGAAGTAAGAAATCCTGTTCCAGAACCACCATTGATTGCAGGTGACTCTGGCCAAGTCCCAGCCTCTTTGGGGCTTAATTTTCTGATTTAAGAGTAGATGGATAACCACCCTTAGCATCTGCCTGGCATGGCTGGTGAGCGTGTGCTGGGCTAGTGCCTTGGTTCAGATCCCCACTCTCCCCATACTAGCTGAGTGCACATAGGATCGTTTCTCAAACTCTCTGCCTCAATTTCCTCATCTGGAAAAATGGGCTGGTGGGGTGTCTATGAGGCTTAAATGGGTTAATCTGCAGAAGGCTCCAGGAACATTGTCTGATGTACTACCATTGTGGGTGACATCCAGTCCTTAGGGATCCTTGGAGAGACACAGATGCGATGAAAAGGGGGAAGCAGTGGACTGGCTAGTTTGGCAGTACGAAGACCCGCATGAGCATGTTCAAGACATGGCAACAGGCCTGGGCTGCCACCTGGTGAGGCCAGGGCCAGGCCCTGGTGAGACAAGTGTGAATGAACGTCCCTGAGTAGCCACCCCTCTGGTTCCCAGAAGTGCTCCTGCCTGGGGACAGGTCACATGGCAAAGGCCGACATGCAAGTAAGCCAGTGAGAGGACAGAGTAGGCTGCCGGGTCTTTCTCTTCTCTCCTTGTTCTTGCTTTCTCCAGGTTTGCAAATAGTCTCAAATAGACTGCAGCACCTCAGCCCATTCAGTGAAGTTGTCCTGAAGACATCACTGGGCTGTTGCTGATCCCCTTCCTGTCTACACCCCTCCCCACCTTCTCTCAGCTCTGCAACGCCATAGGGCAGAGCTGAGGAAAAGGCCTTTGAGGTCCCAGGCCCAGCCCTTCACCTCAACCCCAGTCCTTCCCTCCCCCAATACCTCACCCAGTCACCCCAGTCTGTCCTTCAGAGGCTCTGGAAGCCCCCCCCTTGCACTCTGCACAGGCAACAGGAAGAACCCACCCTCCCCTCCTAAGCGGGCTCTTCATGGACAGAAGCCAATGAGGGGCCCCATGTGGGGAAATGAATGGGCTGGGCTGAGGCTTTCAAAGCCATGGCTGCCTGCTGGAGGCCCAGGTGTCCGTATGAGCCTCTCTAGGCCAAGAGCCTGGACAAACTGATGGTCACTGCTGTGCATGGAGCCAGTTGACCGTGACCAAGGCCTGGACTGAGAGTCAATGAGAGGGTTAATTGCCCAGTGCTGCCCAGCCTGGCACATCGTGGCCTAGAGTCCTGCAGAGGGATAGGGTATTAATAACTCAGTAGTGACAGGCACCGCTGTGGGAATGTCCTTTCGGATGGGACAATGCGAAGGCAAGAGCCTCCCCTTGTAGTGTCTAAGATGAAGTCAAGAAGGCCTTAGGGGCTGCACTTCCAGCCCAGACAAGCCCACTTTTAGGGAGGATAAAAGGAGTGGCAGAGGGAAGAGAGGACCACTTTGCCACATGGCAGCTATATAGCACCTTTTCCACCCAGAGCTGTTGGGGGAATATGACCACCACAGCAATAATGACACACCCATTTACGGAGCATTTTGCTCCAAGCACAGAGACAACCTTCCCACAGCCCTTCTCTCAGTTCTGTCCCTGATTCCATGAGGTAGATGTCATTATTATCCTGTTCTGCAGATAGGCAACTGGGACCCAGAGTGATTTAGTAACTTCCTCAAGGTCACACAGCAATGATGGAATGAAGCCATGACACAGATGGATGGTGCAAAGTTTTGGCACACAAAAATAAAACATTCCTGAGCGACAGTGAGCACCCCAACAGCAGGGGCTCTGCGGGCTTCTTGTTGGGCCTGGGATCAACGTTCCCAGAAGAAAGAAAGCAACATGACAAGCGAAGTTAGGAACAGGCTCTGAACTCTGGAAGCTTACGGTTCTGTAGGTTGCTTGATTTTTAAAAATGTTTGATATTTAAATTCAAAAGGTACAAAATGACAGTCTCCCTCTTAACCCTGCTCCATGGAGGAAAACACCAGTTTCTCATGACAGATTATTCCAGAAGAAATCAATGCATTATTTATGGTCTTGTTTCAGGTGCCAGCAAGGGATCTGCTCGGTTGTAGTTGGGGGTTGGGGACTGTTTGGGTCCTTCTGAGTGCGACCTTCCCAGTACCTCTTCTTTTGTGTGTGTGTGGGTGGTACTGGGGTTTGAACTCAAGGTCTCATGCTCGCTAGCACTATTACTTGTGCCACATCCCCAGTCCTTTTTGGATTTTAGTTTATGTTTCAGGTAGGGTCTTGCACTTTTTGCCTGGGCAAGCCTTGGACCAAGATCCTCTTACCTCTGCCTCCCTCATAGCAGGGATTACAGACATGAAACATCATGCCTGGCTTCTTGCTGAGCTAGGGTCTCATTAACTTTTTGCCCAGGCTGGCCTCAAACCACAGTTCTTCCATCTCTGCCTCCCTTGTAGCTGGGATTATAAGCATGCACTACCATCCCAGCATAGCACCCTTTCTTTCTTACATAATTTTCTCCTTTCTCCACCTTCCAGAGAGCCAGCCTTCAGGAGACAGTTGTGCTGTGACAGTAGTAAAGGCTTAGAAAGAAAGCCGAGGACCACGGACAGACTGTGTTGTCTGGGTGCAGCTGCTTCCATCCTTCACCTTCCACCCCAAGGTTCTGCAGCACCATGGTCGTGCAGGAGAGTGCGGGTCCTGGGGACACCAGGGTGGGTGTGCAGCTGGAGCCCTTCCTGCACCAGGTCGGGGACATGTGAGTGTGATGAGGTATGACGAACACACAGTGTGCAAGCCCCTCATTTCCCAGGAGCAGAGGTTCTACGAATCCCTGCCATTGGCCATGAAGCAGTTCACCCCACAGTACAAAGGTGAGTGCAGCAGCCAGGCCACTCTGGGCCCAGGCTCATCTGCAGATGAGCCAGCCTCATGGTCCTGGCTTATCTGATGTCCTCAAAGCCTCCAGGTCTGCCACTTGTCTTTGCTTCCCATTAGCTCAAGCCATGAGGCTTCTAGGAATTGAAAATGAACTAAAATGACTCCCGGTGGCACTTAGTTCTGAGGGACCATAACTAAACACAGGACAGGTTGAGGCCTCCTTTACCTCACTCTGGAGGCTCAGGAGGGGATCAGGTTGGGACAGGGCATGGAGAAACTGTGATACGGCTTATTCAGGAAACCAGAATTCCTGCCTTCATCAGGAAGGGCACAGCAATGGGTAGGCTGCCATTGTGGAGTGTGCAGCTGGGGAAACAGGCACGGGCAGTGTGTGTCCTGCAGCTGAGTGTGAGCTGGGGTCTGGGGGAAGAGAGTTGGGTGAGAGGGCTGCTCCCACTGACTCCCCACTCCCTCCTCAGGATCCCAGGGCAGCATTCTGTTCACCCCAAGTCTCATTAAATGAGGCTCATAGGGTGAATGCCAGGCAACCAGCCCAGCTGGGTGAGCACTCAGAAGAAAGACCTCCTTTCAGATTTCACCACTGCAAGCTGCTGCCCTGTTGTCAAAAGGTCTTTCAGGGAGGCAATAATGATACCCAGATCAGTCCATCAGAAGCTCACTTGCATTCCAGTGACTAAGACAACTGGAAAGCCAGGCATGGAAGCAGATGCCTGCCATCCCAGCTGCAGTGTAAAAGGCATAAGTAAGAGAATCACAAACTGAGGCCAGCCTGGGCAAAAAGCATTAGACCCTAACTAAAGCCAAAAAGAGCTGGGAGCATGGCTCAAGTGGCAGAGTGCTTATGTATTAAACACAAGGCCCCGAGTTCAAGTCCCAGTAGCACCAAAAAAGAAAGAAAAAAAAAAAAGACAACTGGGAAAGATGGGCCCATCCACACTGGTGTTTCTCAAAATATGACCTGGGGTCAACCAGATCCACCAGGATCTGCACTTACAAGTTCCCAGACCCATTCCACACCTGCAAATCAAGATCCTGGGGTCCTGGGGTCAGGGTTCAGGCATCCATATTTATCATGGTCCCAAATGAGAGGCACTGCCAGGGGATGAGCCCTAGCTTTGCTTCAGAGAAATGCTTCATTGCCTGGACTTCAGTACAGTTCAGCATCTCACCCTGAGAAACAAGGGAGACCACCCACCCACCTGTGCAAGCCCCCTCCTGCCTGGCCTGGCCTTCCCAGGAGTCTTCCAAGGCCCCAGGCCCATGTGGCCTGACAAGATGGTGGGCATCTTGTCAGAGCACCCACTGGAATTAATGTCTGTCCTTTGCAACCAAACTCAACCCAGCTAAGGGATGGCAGGCCCTGGCGTGGAGTGGTCTTCTGCCAGCAGCGTTTCATGCTTATTTGGCACAATTCCAAAGCTGAAAAAGACTGCTGGGACCGCCACAGACAAAGCAAGGAGATAAAGAGGCCACTCTGGTCTTCAGGAGACTCCACCTTGGCCCCTACCCTGTTCCCTGTCTGCACAGGGCCAAGCCTCTTGTGGGGGGTCATGGAGCACTGCTTTTGGGCACCCTTGGGCACTGGTCTTCTGCCCAGACCTCTACTCTGCCTGGCTTCCTCCTTTGGGCTGGGCCATTCTGGGGACATCCCCTTGGGGGATTCTAATTCAATAAATCACAGATGCTCCATGACTTACTATGGGGTCAGGTCCCAGTTAAACCCATTCAAAGTTGAAAATGTCAAAAGGCATTGAATACCCAAACCTAGCAAGCAGCCTAGCACACAGTGTGCTGTAGTCTTAACTGCTCACCTCACAATCGTGAGGTTGCCTCTGCCCAGCACCCAGGGAGAGGACTGTGCCCATGTTACTAGACCCAGAAAACCAAAAGTGAAAAATCAAAGGACTCTTTTTACTGAATGCTTATCACTTTCTCATTGTCACAGGTCAAACCATTCTAAATTGGGGACTGCCTGTAACTTGAACCTAGGGTCAGAGCTATATGGATGGAGGCCACGGGGGATGAGCTGGCCTTGCTTTGGGGCTTTGCACAGGACACGGTGTTTCTAAGGGAAGTGGGCGAGGCTCGCTGGGTCAGGGAACTTCATGACACCCTCTAATGAGACTAATAACTGACCACTGGCTCTGCCTGAGGGTGGGCTGTGGTGACACCCAGACGTGAGACTCTGATGAAGCAGAAACACCAATCCCTCGCTGACTGGGACATGATCCATGTGGCGCCGGGGTCCAAGCACCAGCTAGCCAAGTACGCATGTGTAAGGAGACACTGGAAAAAGGCCCAAACCAAGCAGGACCCTCACGTTGGTTCTTGGATGCCTGGAGTAGAGCAGAAGGATTGGGAGCTGAGGCCAGATTGTCCAGGACCCTCCTCAGGGGAGGGTCCTGAAGGGCTCTCAGGCTGTGCAGGCTGCTGTTTCTACCAAGTAACAAAAGCAGTGCAGGCCAAGCCTTAACCCTTAGCATTCTCTCCAGACACCGCAAGCGGTTTCTGCTCTATAACTTACATAACCCTCACAACCCTCGGGGCAGGCACCTTTATGACCCCAATGATGTAGATGAAGAAACCAAGGCATAGAGAGGTTGCCTGGATTGCCTTAGGCCACAGGGCTAGTGAGAGGCAGAGCCAGGATTTGAAGCCCTGAGGTCTGCGCCCCCCACCCCCAATGTTGGGTTCTTGGCCACGTAGGCCCACTCCACCCAGCTACACTGTCACCAACAGGGTGGACTCTGGGTGTCAGTGCTCAGGGGGTCATCTAGCCCAAAGAGAGAGAGGACATGACTTGCTCAAGTCACTCAGCCAGTATTCTCATGTTGGGAGGACTCAAATACCTACAAGTCTGTCACAGGAATCGTCCTTTTTCTCCTCAATAGGGAAAGTCCCACTTAGAGAGGGTCTGTTTCTGAAGTGGCTGCCACATGCCAGGGAGCACATCCTCTCCCTTCTCACTGCCTTGTCCCATGGTTGCATCAGAGAGAACCCTGGGAGGTAGACATTCCAACGGGCAGCCTCTTTGTGCCAGAAGCTCACTTTAGACCTTTGCTGAGCTCCTCAGGTATCACTGCCTTGGGGCTGTATCCCTCACTTCCCAGTCTGCCTGCTGGCCTTGGGCGAATGAGGACATACACTCAGGTCCAGTTGGCTAATGGGTTGGCCAGATTCATATTACAGACGGTGACGAGTAGATGTTCTCATAAGCTTAAAAATAAACACATGATAGAATATTCACTGAGGCGCAGGAAGCCGCTCAGCCAAACCAAAATTGCTGAGATGCTCTGGGCATGCCAATCATGGCAGTAAGCACTCTTGCCTGCCCAGCTGGCATGGGCTTGGGCTGAGGTGCATGAGGAGAGCTGGTGAGCCGGCAGTCAGGGGCTCTGGCTGGCCCTGAACACTCCTGGTCAGACAGCAGCAGCAGAGCTCTGGGAGCCCGTGGGCTTCCGAAGCCCTAATCCTCCTTGACACACAGGACAAGCTGAGGCTGGGCTGGAGCTGCTGTGGCTCTTGATTAAAAGAACAGCTCAAGCAATGAGGAGTCTGGGATCCTCTGGCATGCCGCTCAGTACAGGGCAGGCAGCTTGGGACTATCTGCAAGGTGGCACTCTGTTATGATCTCATGGCAGGTGGGGGCAGCTTTGGAGATAAAGTCTAAGCTGAGCCCCAGGGCAGTAACAGAAAGGGAGAGAAAGCCAGTTAGGAGACAGAGATGACACTGAGCCCAGAAAGCTCTCAGAAAGACTCTCAGAAAGACTGAGAGAGGCCGGGACACAGAGCTGGCAGTGTGGCTCTGACAATATGAGCAATGGAAATGACTTTTGGATTTTATTGGTTTTGGGTTATCTGCACCTTTCCTCTCCTCCATTTATGCAGGCACTTAGAACAGATGAGATCAGACAAGAGCTAGAGGCTGGAGAAGCGGGTGAAGGTCACATTTCTTGTCCCTCTGGGAGGCCACCTGGGCCTGAGCTTCCTAGGATCATGTTTTCTGGCAGGCTTGTCACCATAGTCCCTCAAGTGGAAAGGCCAGGGGCTGCCAGATGCTAGTGTGAACTTTACAGACCTGAAAGGGCCATACTCTTAGCTGGAGTACCTTCCTGGGCCCCTCAGGCATCCAGAAGGCCCCCAAGCTCCCCAAGGACAGCTTGGAGGTCAGCTTGCTGTCTCCCCTTGTCAACAGGGAGGGATGGGCACTGAGGCCTAGTGTTGGCTTCCAGAAAGTCAGTTCTCTCTAGAACAAGCACCCTCCTTCCCAAGGACACAAGACTGGAAATGCAAACCCCATGTCCTTGGGCATCCTGTCACTCACAGCCCTCTGTGCTCACAGAACTCTCCTCCTGAGAAGGTTGAATCATGGCTGCTCTGTTCCCTCCCACAGAACAGAATGACCAGAGCCAGTGTGACTGTGGACCCTGCAGGAGTGTTCCACATGCATGCTTGGGTAAACACAGTGTGATGACTCCAGACCCTCCCCATGGAGTCCTCAGCTCTGTGTAACATTGTGTCCCTTATTCCATGCCCGGGTGTGGTGTGGCCTTCTCCAAGGTCCTTCTGTAACAGCTATGCAACCTTGGCTTTTTGATCTCCTGGAGCCCCTCGTGCATCATCAACAGCCTTATAGTGTTGTAACTTAGAGATCACAAATGAAAAGCACACAGTGCCAGCACAGGGCCACACACAGTAGGTGGAAAAACATGGTAATTATGGTCACTGTTATGATTATGTCCCCAGCCTGTTGTCAGTCCCCTGCTCCAACAGTGATGGTCTTGGCCCAGGATGAATGCTAGTGTCAGGTAAACTGCAAGATGCCAGGCTCAGGAACCATGTTACTTCACCTATCATAATTACCTCACAGGACACAGGAGCCTGGAATGGGTTGAGGAAAAGCAACCCATTTTCAGGAGTTGGAGAGAACTGAATGTCCCTTCCTGGCTGTAAAACTAGGTCACTGGGAATCTGAGATGCAGGACTGGCCCAGGAAGACTGCTGAGCTAGGCACAGGCAGCTCTGGAGAGTGACTTGGTAAATTGCAGAGCAGCCCTGGAAGCGAGGGTCTGCACTAAGCAGCGTGGAGGCCGGGCAGTGATGTGGCCTTCACTGACTGCTGTGCAGAAACCACCACTTACACTGGGAAGGTGACCAAGTTGCTGGGGGGAGGAAATAAAGAGTGTGCAGCATATACAAACACACAACCCCCTCCTCAAGTCAGGGACCCAGCAGAAAACAAACAGTGCATTCAAGAGAATTTTTCCAAGAGGTTATTTGCAAAAGGCTTAAGGAAACAGCCAGGAGTGGGTGCACCCAGGAGTAGGCAGCACCGGAAACTACAGCCCCCACCCCTTCAGGCCCAAAGGACTAGAGGGAGAAACCACTGTCATGTACAGTCCCATTGAGAGAAAAGACATGGAGAGGGTGAGAGAGGGAAAGGGGAAGAGAGGATGAGAGACAGAGAGAGAGAAAGAGAGAGAGAGATTGAAAAGGCCCTAGAGCAACAGTACTAGAACATGGACCCCATGGTGACACAGGGAGGAACCATGGAATAAGCTCTCCACCCTGCAGGGGCAGTGGCCAGAGCCACTGGGAAACAGAGAACAAAGAAGCTCTTGGGTGCTGCCTAGAGTCAGCCCCTCAGCACAAAGCAGGTGGAGAGGGCGGCAGAGTAGGCAGGGTGGGGAACAGTCAGGGAAGACTCACAGGATAGAGGCAGGCCTGGGCTCTACCACCAGAGTGAGGACTCCACAGGGTGACCCCAGAGCACTAAGGCACCTGCCAAAGTCTCTGAGGACAGCGAGCAGCATGTGTGTTAAATGGGGTTTCCAGGGCTCTTCACCTGCACTGCCTTGATTATGAATCACAAGTGGTAGGAGGTACCACAAGTTGGGGACATCTTATAGGTCTCTGGTTTCATCAAAGATCGTGTCCGCCAAAAGAAGCTTAATGTGCTGATGTGTCTAACCAAAGGCAATGGCCGGGTGTCTGTACGAAAGGCAGAGATGGGAAGAGTGAATGGATGGGGACAGAGAGTCCAGAGCCCAAAGGATGCCTGAGGAAGCTGTCAGATGAGGACAAATGGTGGGAAGTGAGGATAATGAGGGGGGCAAAAGAGAAGGGGGAGGGATGTGATGGGCCCAGCTTCCCTTAACTGCTGTCCCCTGGAGGTAGGGAGGTACCTTTGCAGAGAACCAGCTCTGAGGCCTCCCAGGCTGGGGACAGTTAAGTTGTTGTCACATGACTGAGAAGAGGTCTGCATAGAGAGGAACATGACTTCGAGAACAAAAGGCACAGGAATGCTTTGTTTAAGCAGGAAGGGGCAGAGAAGCAGATAAAGCAGATGGTGTGCCGAGATCAACTCAAACCTATTTTCTGTAGGTTGCATGGTTCCAGACACATTCAGGAACACATTCAGAGAGGAGCTGGGGAAGGAAGGAGGCCAGCCAGTGCCATTAAACTAAACTCAAAGGCTGTCACCCATGGGCCACGTCCACTGACAGAGACATCCATCTGCTTTCTTCTCCCCTCCTTTGTGCATCCTGCAGGTACCATCACAGTGCACCTCCAGAGAGACAGCAGGGGCCACCTCAGCCTGGTTGCCCACCCTCTGAAGGAGAATCGGGAACCCTTCAAGGTCTCCCCAAAGTCAGCAGCAGTGACCATCTGGCAGACACTTCAGCAGACCACTGGCAGTGGAAGCAGTGCCAGCCCCCTGGCCCAACTGGCACACTCACTCAAGGAGAGGTGAGGGCCACTGCACAGGTGACAGAAAGCAGGGACCAGCACTTCTCCCACCTATGCCCAAAGCTAACTGCTGTACATTAGGGTTGGCACCAAGAAAATGAGAAATTCTGATGAAGACTCTGTCTAGAATAACCAATGTGGCCTAAGAAAGAAATGAATTTTCTCCCATGCCACTCCAAGGGGGAGGATTGCCATGACTTCATCTCAGAAGTTCACATGCACACTCACAGAGTGCTGTACAGAACAGGTATTTGGTACCTATTTGTTTAATTAAATACTTGTTTCACTGAGACCACGAAGTGTCTCTCGGGGGAGAATGTGCAGAACAGAAACCCTAGAACAGTGTCTACAAAGGAAGTGTGGCTAATTTCTCTCGGAAGTCAGCTCTTTAGTGATTGAGAGGGGACAAGGATAGAGGCTGATGTAGCACTTGATGGGTCCCTGGAGACACAGAAGGCCCTGGGGACCTGAAGTCTTTGGAGAGATCACCAGAGCATCTCGTAATGTTAGCTGACCTTTCTTAAAGAAAGGGCTCCTTGGGGAGTTTTCTAATATCTATGGGAAAAAGAAGGGAATAATACAATGACAGGGGCACCCCAAGGAGCACGCAGACCTAATTAAGCCCTTGGCTCAGCATCAGTAAGGAACACACTACCTCCACTCACAGATGGGAGAAGGAGGGGGGGCTCAGGGTCCGTGACCCCCTTCCACCCTACTCTAGATCATTTTGAGGTCTCAGGACATAATGACATACTAGGACATCAGATTCCTGGTGTGGTCACCACCCCTATACTTCATCACCTCTAAGGAAAGATCATTAATAATCCAGACCACTTACAAGAGCACTTAAATCACTTCAGTCCCCTGAGGTCTGGCACATCTAAGGAGCTGTCTGGGGTTCGAGGAAAACCCTGGAATGGGCCGTGATATGTGGTGTGATCTGGTGCCAGGGGCTGGAGGTGGATACAGCATCTCTGGCAGTCTGGTGAAAGTTCTCTGATACCTACCAGGATAGCCCTTCTCAGGGACTGTCCCACAGAACCTGGGCAGTCAGCACAGGGCACCTCCCACATCTGCTGCCCTGACCATCAGCCTGTTCTTCCCTTGCCCATAGCCCAGCCGAGGCACTCCTGAGGTCTGAGCTTCACTTCAGCACCCAAGTCTCCTCAATGCTAGAAGACGCTAATGGGAACCAGGTCGAGAAGAAGAGCTTTAACCCTTGGGGCCTGCACTGCCACGAGGCCCACTTGACCCGCCTGTGCTCTGAGTACCCAGAGGACAAGCGGCACCGTATCCTTGCCCACCCTCCTCACCACACATGGTCGCAAGGGCAGAAAGGCAGGAAGAGCAGTGCGGAACAGAGAGACAGAAAGAAACAGATAGAGAGACATGGAGGACAGGAGTTGGAAAGAGACACACACACACACACACACACACACACACGCGCGCGCACGCATATGCGCGCGCAAAGAAGGTGGGTGGAGAGAGAGAGAGAGAGAGACATGTGAGGGGTAGTTTGAAGGCACAAGTCCACAAACCTAGAACCTAGAAGAAATCAGATCCCTCCAAGATAAAACTCAGAAAGCAGAGCCAGGCGCCCATGGTTCATGCCTGTAATTCTAGCTATTTGAGAGGCTGAGAAAGGGAAGATTCTGGTTTGAGGTCAGCCCAGGCAAAGAGTTCTCCAGATCCCATCTCCAAAATAACCAGAGCAAAATGGACTGGAGGAGTGGCTCAAGCCGTAGAGCGCCTGCTTCGCAAGTATGACAGTCCAAACAACATCCTGCCAAGGTGGGGGCAGGGACAGAGAGTATGGGAAAGTCAGACTAGTAGTCAAACTGAACACAGTAGGACCCTGGCATGTCTCCACTGCTCGAGTAGTAAGGATGGCATGGGGCCTCTGTGGGGAAACAGGAACAAGAAATGCTTCACTGGGTAGGGACTACCCCAACCTCCCTTGTATCCCTGCAAATTCCCACTGCAGGGTCTTCCCATGTGCCCACGTGCTGCAGAGGGAGGATAGGTCCACCCTTAGAGAAGTGCCAGAGGGGTGGTCTCTGAGAGAAGGCAGCCCCCCTCATCCACCCATACACAAATCATGTCCCCAGTGGACAAAATTTAGGTTTGAAATGCCCCCTTGTCACCGCTGGACTCCTTCCTACAAACAGGTGGCTGGCTTTGCAGTATTTACTGAGACACATCTGCAATCCTAATCCCTAAGAAGCTTTTGCAGGATAATTACTCCACTGAAATTAATATTCTTGCAACTCATCTCCAAAGCGAACATCAACCCACTTCTCCCAAAAGGTATTGGCCCATTCAGTGACTGGAGGTTTTAGCCTTCTGATTTTCTGCCATAAAATGTAAATTGGGCATGGCCTGCCAGGGATTTCACGCCTGCATTTAAATTCCAACCTCAGAGCAAAATGGGAAAGGAAGAAAAGCTCACATATTCATAAACTCCTCCTAAATAAACGGACTTATTAAAGCAGTCTGCAGGCTGATACCTCGCATGCTTAATAGCCAGGGCCCATCTGTGAGGAAGGAAAGGGGACACTCCAGCTTCTAGGCAGTTTTGGAGGCTGCTACCTGCTTCCAGAGAGGCTGCAGCCTTGAAGTCCTCAGAGCCTTCCTTAACTTAGCGTGACAAGGGTTCTTGCTGCTGGAAAATGTGGTGTCACAATACACACATCCCTGCATTCTGGACCTGAAGATGGGGACCCGGCAGCATGGGGATGATGCATCTGAGGAGAAGAAGGCCCGCCACATTCGGAAGTGTGCACAGAGCACCTCATCCTGCCTAGGCGTGCGCATCTGTGGCATGCAGGTAGGTGCAGGGGTCCACGGCAGGGGTGGGCATCATGGCACATCCACCGCAGGGCAAGCAAGTCCCCCATCCAGACCTCTTCCTCTCTGCAGAGCCCATCATTTTTGGAGAGCAACAGAGGAGGCCAGAGATTACTTTTTCAACAAAGCAATGTATCTATGACATTTCTATGACACACTGGGGGTTTTGTTTGGGTTTTTGCAGTGCTGGGGATCAAACTTAAGAGTTTGGGTATGCTAGGCAAGTGTTCTACCACTGAGCTACATCTGCAGCACACATGCTGGGTTTTTTGAAGACCACCCTTCAGAAGTGTGGTGTCAAAGCCCACCATTTTTTAACTCTGTCTCACAATCTTTGGCAGCTGGAGCTTTCCACGGCCCCCTGGGTCCCGCCAATGTTGAGAAAGACCTTTGATGACAGTGTGTGGGCAGGGGTTGGGGAAAGAACTAAGAGACAGCTCACTCTGTGCCTTCCTGATCCCACCTTTTCTTGCATGATGAAGCTGAGTCCAGTCTTTCTCACATGCTATGTGGCAGCATGCTGTTTGAATTCTTGTTATCCATCCTCTCGTCTTCATCCAGCTTTTCTGCTGCTTTTTGCTGCCTGGTTTGTTTAACAAAGCGGGAAGGTCATAACCTGCTGAACCCAGGCACAGGGAGTTAATTTCCTTAGTGCCTGAATCGCACACTTTATTATTGCTGCTCTTCTGTGGCCATGACAGGGCTTCAGGAGAACACACTTCCTCCACTCCTTCCCTCTTAACGTCTGTCTGCTCAAAGCAAAACCAGACTCTGCTTTGACGGTAAGCATTATAGCTTTCCTTAATTGAAACTGCCACCCCTTGAAGCTGGAAGTTGAGTCTATAAATTCATTGCACAGATGTCCCTGGAAAGGCTTGGAATGCAGTCCTCAAGAGAATGGAGTGTGATGATTTGTGGTGTAAATGGAATCTCTCTCTGGACCTCAAACCTTCTGAAATTGATCTGATTTATTTAGAAAGAGATGCCTGTCATGTGTTTATGATGGTTAATTTAGCAGCCGATCTCCCGCCCTCCAAAGGCAACACCAAGCCTGTCATAACATTCTGATTTTTTTTTCAACACTGTTTTTTTTGGAAACATATCATGTAATGTGAAGACAGGAAAGATCTGAGAAACTGTGTTGGCCAGGTACAGACAGCCCTGCCCAAGTATGCCAAGTCCCCCTAGGTAGGCCATGTCAGTCACAGTTGGGGCGGCTGCCACAGTCTCCCCATCAGTGTCTCTCTTCCATCTGCTCCCTTCTGGTGGCCAAGACATGACATGGGTGGGGAGGGGAGACGATGCCAAGGAGAGGAGCCACCCGCCTCACAGAGTGGCTCTGGACCTCCCTCCTCCTCCCAGGCTCCCTGCAGGCTGCACTGGCTGCCTGCAAACACCTTCCACACCCCATGTAGCCTGTCTCTGTGCCTCCAAACAATTCACCCAACTCCACCTCAAGAGCCATTACTGCTTCCTTAAAATCTGCAGAGAAAGGATTTTTATAAACTTTGTTGAGGAAAATTTAATCTAGTTGGCTTTCCAAGGCCATTGGCTGTGATTTCAGATTCCTACTGAAGCTTTCTAGCTTGGGTTTGCTAATATCTGAATTGAAGAGGGCCTGAAGCCAGGACTTAAATCACGATTTGGAGGTTGACATTGGAAATTCACAAGAGAGGAGATCTCTGTCTGTGGGTGGAGGGTCACCTCTGTAGGGTGAAGGATATTTGGAGCTTGGATTACCATTAAAGACTTGCACAGAGAGCACTTTAAAACGCACAAGCTGCTCTGGGGCATGATGGAAGACCATCTTCTGCTCATTTCAGCCGCTCAAGCCCTGCATCTCCTGGAAATTGGTTCAGATATTATATGGGAGCTTGTGATGCTGCAACTGTAGCAGGGGTAATTTTTTTTAAATTTGAAATTCTTCACATTTTCTCTTTCTCCTTTTTAATGTAAGGTTTATCAAACCGATAAGAAGCATTTTCTCTGCAAAGACAAATACTATGGAAGAAAGCTCTCAGTGGAGGGGTTCAGACAAGCCCTGTATCAGTTCCTGCACGACGGGACCCGCCTCCGGATGGAGCTCCTGGAGCCCATCCTGCACCAGCTCCAGGCTCTCCTCTCGGTCATCAGGAGCCAGAGCTCATACCGCTTCTACTCCAGCTCCCTTCTCATCATCTACGATGGGCAGGAGCTACCAGAGAGAACCCCAGGCTACCTGCGTCCTCAGGATGCTCCCGGAGGTCCAGCCAAAGTCAACATCCGGATGATCGACTTTGCTCACACAACATACAAGGGCTCCTGGAAAGAGCACACTACCTATGATGGACCAGATCCTGGCTATATTTTTGGCCTAGAAAACCTCATCAGGATCTTACAGGATATCCAAGAGGGACAATGAAACTTCTGGAATTTTCTGAGCTACAAACGTTGAAAAGGGACCTATCAGTAGCTAGGGTAGTCTAGATACTCTTTAGATGTTTTTGTAATAATCAGATCTACCTTCAAAAGCCATCTTAAACATGGCAGACTATATAAAAGCTGCTAAAGTAATCCACTCTGAAGCCAATTCCATGCACCCTGGCATCTTCTATATGCTGGTCATTATCCAACTGACAGTGTAAAGTGGCACCATCACGGATCACACAGGAGGGGTGCAGCATGAGTCAGAGGCCAGCGATGCAGAAGCTCTAGAGTATTTGCATCCACAAACTCTTTCTTGTTGTGCTGCAGTCCTTCCAAGCCATAGAGAAGAAGAAGAAGAAAAAAAAAAAATCCCTGGAAGAAGCCTTGAAGAATGACTTCCCAAGTTCATGGATTTTCTGCTTATGCAGGCTGCCTTCTCCACAGGCAGACAGAGCTAATGAATACCTCTCACCTTACTGTGATGAGTTATAGGTGAGGCAGGAGGAGGTGGAACATATTTGCCCATCTGCTCCATACTGAGGTTTGCAAGAGCAAGGACACTGGCTGGAGGCATAGCTCAGCAGTTGAGCATGTGCTTTACATGTGGGAGGCCCTGGGGTCGATCCCCAGCATCACAAAACAATAAATAAATAAATAAATAAATGGGTCAAGGACAGATCCAGGCATGAGCACTGGTAAACCAAGACCCTGAGTCTCCATCTTTGCCTGTGAAGAGGAGGGTCTCTTTACAGACCTCTTGGTGTCTGTTAGAACTAATGATTCTACCACATTCTGACCATGAAATGACCGATCACGACATGCAGCTTCCAGTAAAGCAGAGGACACACAGGAGGAGACACTGGTATTAAATTATAGCCTCCAATTTCTATTTATTTATTTATTTTGGGAGTGAGTTGGGGAAGTTGGAAGCGAAGAAGCTGGAGACCCAGGAAACCAGGGGCAATGTTTACAAGGCTGGTGGACAAGTGTAAATATGAAACAAGAGCAAATGGTTCTAATTAATTCCTTCCTCTGCAGTATAGAAACCTATTACAATACCCTTGAGTCAAGCACTAAGATACGTTCCCCAATTAGGGGAATAAATTTGCTAATAAAATTGCTGAGGTCACCAGTGATTATTGGTGCGCCTTATTACCCTTTCTGTTTGTTTATTCTGATCATCACACTGTATGGTAATTTCAATTTATGAGGGACTAGAGTACACAGCAAGAATAGTTTGCTGATTTCTGGCAATCTGTCAGGTACCTGGGTGGAAATGGTGGCTGATAAAATATTTGCATGCATTTTGCAAGGCAGACACCAGATCTGAGAAGAAAGGGTCCTCTCATTAGACCCTCACACAATGCAAAATTAAGTCATTGCTGGATTCTAATGGATATTTGCCATCAACTTTTCAACTTCCACAGCCTGGACAGTAAAAACTTTTATTTAATTTTGGAATACATTACATGGATTTCAAAGCAGGTTAACTTCCCAAATTATGTTTGGCCAAGGTAATTAATTTGCACACTCTGTGCCCATGGCGCAAGAATGAGCCAAAGCATGGTGGGTGGCAAAATGGAGTCAGCCTAAAACTAAACACTTGTCAATGACAAAGCAGAGCCCTATGTACTGCTTTTTCTGAGCCACTCTTGCTTGAGAACATAGTACCACATCAACCAAGTCCAAAGCTCTCGTATGTAGCTTCTCTTTCCTCCATTCTCATCTCTGAGTGTTGGTGGACTTGCCTGCAGGTATGACAGCTAGACTCTAAGTTTTCGGAGCTGGTCCACCTGGGTGGCTGCCTGTGCCACACTGCTGTCTGTGTCTGGATCCTTGCTCCTGCCCACATTATGCCCCTCTCTCAACCATGCCTTTAAAACATGAGACCTTCTTCCTGTTCTCCAAAGCATTTGAGTATACCCTGACTTCCATTTTCTGAAGATGTCCCCAACAGAAGATCAGTGTGTGGTAAGAAAGGGACAAAGTTGGCTATTAGTTTTTGACTTTTCTTACTGGACTGTTGGACCTAGAGTAGTTATTGTGGTCTGGAAACTCAGTGGAACAAGCCCACCCAATCGATTCAAGTTTGGGAAGGAGGAGAGGAAACAAAAGGCATAGAGAGAAGAGGAGATGTGTATATATTCAGTCTCTGATCTGAGTTTACTCGCCAATGGGAAAGGAGTGAGGGAGCTCTGACTAACAACAGGAAGCTATTCACTCTGGTTTCTTTGATCATGCTGGGAGTCTAAGTTCTTGGGGAGCTAAGATTCTAGCTGAGGAGGCGAGACCAACACATGAACCGACCACAAACCACACAAGACAGTACCCAACCACATAGAGGGTTAATCTGTGTGATAAAGATAACCACCCCTATAAATCTTTAAAGTTAAAGAGGTTGGCTGAGGGCAAAGTCATTACAGAGACTATTGGAGGAGGTTAGACTTCATGTGGGCCTTGAGGAGTTATAAGAGTGGACAATGGGCTAAGGAACGGAGGAGGAAGGGAGGAATAGGGGAAAGGAAAAGTACAGCATACTGTGGACAGACCAACCCATTCAGAGGGGGGTTTTTGTGCTTGGGATTAGCAGAGATAAAGACTAGAGAAAATGGAGAATGCCCAGATGGTGGGGACACTTGAAAATCTGGCCACTGGCTCACTGGTTTGTTTGTGATTTCAACTTGTTCTTCTCTCCTTCCTTCCTTCAAGAAAGAGAACCACAATGTCATCACTGAGAACTTCATGATTTCACAAGAGAGTTAAGACCCCAGATGAAAACATCGCTGGTGCTACAATAGGGGATGGTAGACATTTGCTCAGATGTGCCAAGTGCTACCAGGAGCTTAGAGGCAGTGAGGGCCTCGCCACATGACACAATCCCAGAGGTAGGGTTAATCTGTGCTTAGAAACAGAGACAAGTCTGAAAGGTGAAGGAGGACATGTGTTCCAGGTTGATTGACAAGTATGGGGATAAGGAACCAAGCTGTCAGCACATGAGCTGGGTTGACCATAGGGGGTGATGTACAGGGCAATGAAAGAGACAAAAATGATCAAGAGCCTTCGACCTCTTGAAACCTGAGAGACCATAGGAACCCCTTGGCTAACCTCCCTTACCCACACCACTTTCTTCTACCTAGCACAGGAGTATAAGTCAGAGTAGGCTAACAACTATAACAAACACTTCCTAAATATCAATACAGCCATTCATGACCCAGGCTCCTTCCATCCTGAGCCACCATGGTCTTCCACACATAGTCCAGACAACTGCTGTTGACAGAGAAAAGTGAGAGCGTGGAGAAGACACCCCCACATCCCACCGGCAAGAATTAGTCAGGTGGCCCTATTCAGGTGCCAGGGGGCTGGTGAGCAGTGTAAGGATGAATCTGGAAAGAGGAAATGGTTTAATGAGAGCTTAGCCCATCTCTACAACAGTCTCTTCATAATTCTGTCAACCTTATACCTGACATAAGGGAGAGAAAGAGAGAAATACGGAGCAAATAGGGGCCTGGCAGTGCCATGGCTGCAGGTTCTAACCAGACCTTCCTCTAGCTGTATCTTCATGCTACTCATGTGCTGGGGAGTGGTGGGAGATTTGCTTAGCATCTCCCTCCTCAGTTTCTTCATCATCCTAGGGAACTCTAACTTGGTCCTCAAGACCAAGTAATAAAGAAGAGTAATCCTGGGCCATCACCATCTTGGTGGAACAGCCTGTTTCTGACCTGACCTCTCATTTGCCACCACCAGCAGGGGAGAAGGATAGCCTGGGAGACAGTCATCCTGTCCCTCTAGTGTCCCCTGGGTGATTAAAGAGGTGGCTAAAGAGCAGAATGTTATTACAGCTTTTCCATAATGCAATGTCATCAGCCAGCCCTGGGCCTCTGGGCAGCGCCCTGGCAGCCCCATCACTCTTCCCAGCTGCATGGAGCTTCTAGACCACGCAGGAAAGGGCAGGCAGCAGTCTAATAAAACAAATAGCAAGGCGAGTCCGCTCATCAGCAGCTCTTCAAAATGATCTAAACTTCTGACTTTTGATTTAAATCTGCATCCTCTGTGGCCAAAAACATAAACCAGAAGATGAGGGAAATGAAAATGCGGATGCCAAGAAGCAGGAGAGAGAGGGAGGAAGTGGGAGGGCAACCCTGGGACAATGCTGAGCTGAGCCACTGGCCAGGCAGACTGACTCCCAGACAAGTTCCCATCCTCATCCTCCTTCCCATGAATTTCTCAGACCCTCCCCCTCTGTTGCCAAAATGCCCTGACATGAGGTAGGAAGTTAGAGAGCTAACTCTCACAAACTCCAGAAGCTACCTGGTCCTGATTTGTCCTAGAACTTTCTCCCTCAGCCCTCTAAGATGAGCATCCTAAAGGGGTGGGGATGAGGTGGGGATGGGTGGGTGAGAAAACCTGAGTTTATAGTCTATAGAGAACCTGAGTTTAAGAACCATTCTCTTCAGATTCAGTCAACAAAAATTTAATAAGACACTACTGTGCGCCAGCCCTGCTGTCCAAGAGTGGCTAATGCTTTGACCCCAAAGAAATCAAGTGATGGGGCTGCTTAATTAATCGATTGATTGATTTTGAGACAGGGTTGCTCTATATAGCCCAAGCTGGCCTCGAACTTGTGCTTCACCCTCCCGAGTGCTGGAATTACAGATGTATGCCACCAGGGCCCAGTGGGTTGCTGCCTTAGATGGGATCAGGAAGGCTCTGTGTGACATCACTGCAGGGTAGTGTTGGGAAGAAGGCAGATCCCTGAGGCAGATGTCAGGAGGTGTCAACAGAGTTGAGGACTTCAGGTATATCAGGCTGCACTTTCAGACCCCACTGACACCTATTTGGCCCACCTGAACACCAACATGTCTTTTATAAAGCTCACTTCCAGAATAAGGGGGCAGTCCACTGTCAGTATGCCTCTTTCAACTACCTTGGCCCTGGGGGACATTAAATGACTAACTATTCTGATGCAATTCCAGACCCCCATTTTTGGGTAACATACTCGGTATTGTAGCCAATCCTTTCCTCCAGCTGAATAAGTTGAAAGAAGAAAAATCAGGCAATCGTACCCCACAATGAAACTAAGTATTTAATTCCTTTTTAATGTTTACATTATTAACACCAGCATTACAAAATGATATTTTTACTTTCAAGCGATTTAAATGTGCAATTCGGTGTCTAGATTACTGGGATCATTATAACTTAAAAACTGAAGCAGGGCCTGCTCCCTCCTCTCTCCTCCCCTGCTAATGCCTGGTTTCTATAAAGAGTGATCAGGGCTCTACAAAGCCCAAATACCCATTCCAAATGGCTGGGGAGGGGCGGCCCTGGTAGGGGTTTTCACTGAACCAGAGGAGGCTGCATTCAGTGTAGAATGAGTGGCAGCCGGCAGGTGGGTGTTAAAATGGTCATCAACTCCCCAAGGGGCTGGCACCACTGAGCTGCATTCCAAGCAGTGCCCATTAATGTGCCCAGAATGGCGCTGGGTGATTGACAAGCCAGTGAGCCCAGACTCTGGCTCAAACCACCCATGGGGATAAGGAAAGAGAATAGGGCCTAGGTAAAACAAGGCCAAGAGGACTGTAGGGCCCCTTGGAAAATGATAAATAAGACCTGCTACAGTTTGCTGGCACATTCCATGCCTGCACTGGCTAAGCCCTATCATGGGCTTATAACTCAGCATACCAGGGGCTTACGGCTATAATGCTGCAAGGAGGCAGGAGGTTCAAATCCTGGGTCTGCCACCTCCAAGCTATTGACCCTGACAAGTCCTATCCTCTCTGTGCCTCAGTTTCCATCCCTATGAAAATGGGAATAGTAGTGGTACTTGAGTTATTGTGAGAAGCAAATGAGTTACTCTGTGTAAGCTGTTTAGGAACAGTGACTGGCACATAGTAAATGCTATTTTAGTTTATCATCATAATTTCCATTTTGAAATGAAGAAAAAAGCTCAGAGAAACTAAAAAAGTCATCCAGGTTGGCTGCTTCAAAGGCCTCTACTATCCCTCTGCCTGGAAGCCTCCCTTGTCCACCTTCCTATGGTGTCTCCTCAGTGACTCCAGTCTGTCACCACAAGCCCCTCGGGGATGGCCTCTAGACCCTCTGTCCCTCCCCACCCCACACCATCTCCATGGACCTGAACCCTATCTTGATCTCTCCTGGAACTTATCACATCTGAAATTACCTCATTCATTTAGCAAACAAATTAATACATACAAAGCACTGTTATTATTACTGTATGTTTCTTGCTGGTTGGCTGTCCTCTACCTTCCCACACATCCATGTAAAACCCACAGGTAAGGGGCCTTTGTCTGTCCTGTCTGTCCTGACAGTGTGACTTATGCAGCAGCCAGCACTCTGCCCACTTAGCTTAATGCTCTTCCATTACTGTCTTCAGATTCTTGTACATCTTTTAACAAGGGGCCTCACATTTTCATTTTGCACCGGACTCCAAGAAATTATATAGCTAATCCCAGATGACTGAATGAGTTAGTGAATGAATGAATAAGCCCTCATCCTGTCCCTGGTCTCTCAGATGCCAAAGCCTCACTAGTTATCCACCATGCCAAACCAACCTCTGATGGGGGAAAAGAGGTGGGTAGGGCAGTCCGATTCAGGGTCAAGACAACTACACCCAGAAGCCAATGTGTGTGCGTGTGTGGCGGGGGAACTTAGAAGGAAGTTTATTTGCTTGTTTGTTTTTAGCTCTTCCTGGCATCCAGTCCTTCTCAACGTCTTCTTGCACTTAGACCTGAAGTGGGGGGAAAATCCTCCATTCAGTTTTTTGCTGCCACTTCAGTTTACTCTTCCTGTTGCCTAAGATACAGGGACCTGGGTTCCTGCCTTCCAGGACAGACAGCTGTCAGCCAGCCAGATGTTCTACCAAGCCACAGCTGTGGTGGGGCCTCAGGCAGAATTACATGGCCTCAGGGCTCCCAGCACTGTCTGCCCTCGGTGCCTGGGACTCCATGGTAAATAGACTAATGCTTGCCCTTTGGGTCTCAGGGCAGCCAACAAAACTTTTGACTATGAAGAGAGCTGGGGTGAAGCTATGTTAGGCTGGGAAACTGGTGAGTGATCAGGGAATCCCCTGAGTACCTCCTTTCCACTCCAGGAACTCACTCACCTCAGGGGAGCATTGCGTACCTGGGGCCCACAGGGTCTCCTTCCATTGGTCTTCACTCCTAATGGCTTCAGAGCAGCCCACAGCTGTTCCCTACTAAAACCTCCAAATTAAACTCTTCCCTTTTCTTCTTTCCCACTCCCACCCCAGGCCTGTCTCTTTCTGCTCTTGAAGCTGCTCTGATTTTCCTCCCCCACTTTCTCCTGAACAGCTAGGGTAGTAGTTCTTTCTCTGAATTCCCTAGCACTAAGACATTCGTGTCCTGCTAATGATGGGGGTACATTATGAGAAAAGCATCATTAGATGATTTCATCTTGTGAACATCACAGAGTATACTTGTACAAACTAAGATGCCCATCACGTCACTGGGCAATATAATCTCATGGGACCACTCTTGTATATGAGGAACCAAAGTTATTACAGACTCTGACTATACTGTAGATAAAGGACTTGCCCCCTTTAACTCAATGTTTAGTTACATGTACTTGTCCAGACTCAAAACTCCTGGAAGGCAGTAGTCTCTGGATTCACCTGTACAAAGTCGGTGGGGCAAGAAGGACAAGGTGAGAGGGAGCAAAGTGCTGCACACGTAAGCCATAGCTCAGTGCAGGACAGTGAAGATGCAGAATGGGGCTGAGGATTTTTAAAGGAAAAGCTGGAAGGTGGGGCAATCTTTTGAAAAGAAAAATTAGTCCACATTGGTGATATAGCTAGATGTGTATAAAATAAGACTTGGCAAAACAAATCTTAATCGGAGAAAACATTTGAAAAGCATATATCTGATAAGAGATTAAAACCCAGAACTCATAAAACTCAAGAACAGTAACAACAACACATCCATCTTAAAAATGGAAAAAGGACTCCAAAAGACATTTCGCCAAAGAATAGGAAATCATGCCCAACATCACTAGTCATTAGAGAAATGCAAATCAAAACCACAATGAGATACCTCCACACACGGTTTGGACGGCTGCCAGAACATAACAAAAACTGTTGGTGAAGACATGGAGAAACTGGAACGCTGTGCCCCGGCAGTGGCAATGCAAAATGCTGCAGCTACTGTGGAACACCATTCAGAGGTTCCTCAAAAAACTAAAAATGAGCCTGACACCCAGTGGTTCAAGCCTGTAATCCTAGCTACTCAGGAGGCAGAGATCAGGAGGATTGAGATTCAAAGCCAGCCTGGGCAAACAGTTCATAAGAACCTATCTCAAAAAAAAAAAAAATCACCAAAAAGGGCTGATAGAGTGGCTCAAGGTGTAGGCCATGAGTTCAAACCCCAGCACTTGGTGGGGGGCGGGGTTAGTAAAAGCAGGGACTCAAAGAGTCTCAATGTCCCTTTCTGACATGACCCACTTTCAGTCTCATGAAAGTGTATTACTTTCCTAATAAACTTTACTATCAAATTCACTACAAAAAAGAGCTATTTGTACACTCATCCTCACAGCAGTATCATTCATGATAGCTAAAACACGGAAGGTGAACAAATGAATGGATAACTAATACATGGTATATCCATACAATGGAATATTATTCAGCCTTAAAAAGGAAGGAAATTCTAACATACTACAGCATAAATGAACCTCGAAGAAATTGTGCTAAATGAAATAATCCAGTAACTAGAAGATAAATACTGAATGGTTCCATTTATTGTGGCACATAGCGAGTCAAAATCATAGACACACAAAATAGAATGATGGCTGCCAGAGGCTAGGGAGAGAGAAAGGGAGATTATGGCTTAATGGATACAGTTCAGTTTTACAAGATAAAAAGAATTATGGAAATCGATGGTGTGATGGTTGCACAACATTACAAATATATTTCATACTATTGTATTGTACTTTTAAAATGCCTTAAACAAACCGGGTATGATGGTCCACACCTGTAATCCCAGCACTTGGGAGGTTTAATCAGGATCATGAATTTCAGGGCAGCATAAGCCTGGAATACATGTTACATGAATTTCACCGCAATAAAAATATCTTAATAATAATTGGAAAAAGAATTCCAGACTGAAGCAACGTAGCTGACACTGCTCAGTTAGGAAACCTGTGCATTCCCAGAAAAAGCGCGTGCTTCGGGTCGTGGGGAGAGCAGTGATATTAACGGGGTTTGGGATTGGAGAGAAAGGGACAATAGCTGAGAAGCGCCAACGAAGGAGCTGCGGCAGAGTTCCAAGTGGTAGTGACAGCTACGGGGGCAGTGGGGGGAGGGGGAGAGACTTGTGACAACGTGTGTGTGCTATGTGGTTAAGTTCAAACACATCTTCATCCCATAACAACCTGTATTTACATGCAAACGTTTCGCTTATGCAAGATAGCAGAGATCCCGGAGGAGGGTTTCCTAGTCTCGAGCTCGTGCTGTCATTGAAAAAGAAAAGCAATGCTGTCCCTAGAGTACCCTTCGTCTGTCTTGCCCCTGGAGGCTGGGCGAGTTCCAGGACAAGAATGAAGTCGCTGGGCTTGCAGGCACAGGCCAGCAGCGCCCCTGCCGGAGAGCGCGGGCAGCCCGCGGAGCTGCGCATGCACCCTTGGGGAAGCGAACGAGCCTTACTGCGCAAGCGCCAGCCATTCGACTCCTCCCCCGGGGGCAGGGCACGCGGGGCCCAAAATGGCGGCCAGCCGATACCGGCGTTTCCTTAAGCTCTGTGAGGAATGGCCAGTGGACGAGACCAAACGGGGCCGGGACTTGGGCGCTTACCTGCGGCAGCGGGTGGCACAGGCCTTTCGGGAGGGAGAGAACACCCAGGTGACTGGCGAGGAGGCGGTTGGGGGGAGGGGAGGAAAGGACGAGGCAGGGACGGGGTCAAAGAGCGGGCTCGAGGCGGGTCTGCGCACGCGCGACCTTCTCTTCCAGCCCGCACGTGTGCGCGGACCCCGTCATCCCCGGAAGCTGCCCGAGCGCGACGCCCTCTCCTTCTGCTTAGTTTTCTCACTTGGCTGCACCTTGGAATTCCCAAAGAAACTTGTTGAAAATTCAGATGCCCATATCAATATCATAATGTCTGGGAGGTGAGACCTTGGCCTCAGTATGTTTTGAAGCTCTCCATGTAATTCAAGGTGCTGGCAGGGTTGAAACCCACAGCATCTGTCGCAGGTAATGACAACCAGAAGCTTATTGCTCCCATAACGTGGTGCTATTACTTTGTAGCGTGGTGTGTGTTGACCGAACTGATCCCCAAGAACCTCAGCAGGGCCCCCACTGAGCCTTCGTGTTCTTCTTGGGCCCCTGTAAACCAGTGCGTTACAGTTGGGTCCTCCCCTCAGTCTCCTGTGTGTGAGTAATAGGCCTCACTCTCTAAAATTTCCTTTTTCAGATAGCATATATTCATTGAGCACCTACCATATGCCAGGAGCTATGTTAGGTGCTAGGGAGACAGCAATGAATTAGGTGAGTTCCTGCCCATTTGGCTTTACGTTCTAGTTTAGGAAACAGTGAACAATACATGTCTATACATAAAATAGTTCAGATAAGTACTGTGATGGATATAAAAATAGGGTAGCATGATTAAAGGTAACATTAGTTCTATTAGTCAGACATTTCTGAGGATATGCTACATAGATGAGACCCAAAGAAAGAGGATGAGCCAAGAGTGTGCACTTGGGAGGAAGAGCATTCTGGTCACAACAGAGGAAATCAAAACTGGTGTGCTGCTGGTGGAGTGGCTCAAATGGTATCACGCCTTCCTAGCAAATGCAAGGCCCTAAGTTCAAACCCCAGTACCACCAAGTAAATAAATAAATCTAAAACTAGCATGTTAGAGAACAGAAAGCCAGATTGGCTGCAGAGTAATGAATGAGTGAGGTGGAGTTTAGTGAGATTTGAGGTCCAAGAAGGGCTGGAGCTAGGTACCATAGGGTCTTAAAAGATCTGATTAGTTGTTGATCTTACATAAAGCCAATAAGAAGCCATGGGGGATATTTAGTCAGGGGACTGATCTGACCTAATTTTAAAAGGTCACTCAGGTTCTGTGTGTGGAATGGATTATAAAGGTTAAGAAGAAACAAGCCCACTGTGATACCAAGTCTGGTGGTTCAGGTGAGGGTGCAGCACAGGAGATGGAAATAATTGTATTCAAGATGTAATGTGCAAGTCAGGTCAACAGGATGTGGATATTTTGGATGTGGGGTAGAGGGAAATAGAGGAACCAAGGATAGCACCTAGATTTTTTTTTTTTTCCCCTCAGCAGCTGGGTGTCATTTACTGACATGGGAAAGATTAGATGAAGAACAATTGTTCCTGAACTTGAGATGCCAAGTGAATTGACTTCCAAGTGGAAATGTCAAGTAGGCAGTGGGGTTATTTGATCCTTTTGCTTAGGCAAGAGGTCAGAGGTACAAAGTGAGCTACATAGCACACACAGCCTCAGTGACTTGCAAAACTTGGCCACAGTCTGTCAAAACAGGGCTTGTTTTTGTTTTCAGATTAGCCTTAAAACCAGACCCAGACAAGTCCACTTAATGGAGCAAGAGCACTCCAGTGGCATCCTTACAACTAGCCTGCTGATTGGATGTCAGCATGAATGGAGTGTATGGCCCAGGACTTCTGGAGTCAGGGGATGTCAACTCTGCACTCAGGTTCCTCACATCATTTATAGTGGTCTTCTACTGGCCCACACTATAAAGATCTTGTAAAAATTATATCTGGTCCCAACTGTGCAAACCCTATAGACTGTCTAGAGCTATGCTGCCTACTTATTTTTAATGGCTGCTTCCTGAAAATAGAGGTGATGTCTCTCCATCCAGATTATCTAATGTAGTTCTTGGCAAAAAAAAAAAAAAAACCCTCAGTAAATGTCTGAATAGATAAATAGTGACTGGTTATAGCTCATGAGATAAAAGTCACTTGAGTACAGTTGCAGATGTAGCAGAGCTAGCTGAAGAGAAATAGTGAAGAGAGAGAAGGGAATATTTCTAGGTCTGTGGTGGGAAGTGATTTGAAACTTACTGTGTTTGGGGAGCTGCAGAGAGTGCAGAAAAGGGAGACCACCTGGTCCTTGTTCCCAAAGAACTTAGAGTTGGTCAATCAGGATAGATGCCTGGGGAGGCAGAAATGTGACAGTCACCTTGATTGTTTTTGTAAGAAAGCCAGCTGGGAGGATACAGCTTTCTCTTTGGGAGTTGTCATCCTTTGTCATCACCTAGGGAGATCATTTCTGATCAGCCAAGGGCCCACACAAGCTTGAGTCATAGTTGCAGGTGCAAGTCATGGCTCCATTGCAGCTGATGGATGCATTTTGGGGAGAGTAAACATGGCAGCAGCCACATTACTCATGACCACTGTCATAGTCCCTCATCCTGCTGTCACCTGAAATTGAGCCCTGGCTTAGTAAATCTTTGCGATAATTTTTGGAGGGAGCATCTCTTTGCTGGAATTGAAAACTGCACTGTAAGTCACTCCCACTGACACCCCCAGATCATTTATAAAGACCTTGAGAAAGAAAGGTGGTGCTGGTAGACTCTTCATTAAACTGGCAGCAGGAGGTGGGGATGAGACCTGGTGGGCTGATTGGTATGCGCCCCCCACCCCCTTGGTTATACCATTTGTGAGGAAGCAGGCTGGAGGGGGAAACAGCTCTGATAAAGCAACCTTGTTGAGAGGCAGGTAGGCCTTCCCTGGGCCTCTTGACTTCCTACATCCTAACAAGGATCCTGAAAGGTGCATAGCACACTCATACATAATCTCATTTAATTTTGTCCTTAGTGTGGCCAAGGGAGGTAGCTGTTACTATTCCCATTTTACAAATGAGAAAACTGAATCAAAACAGTAAAATAACTTATTTGGGGTCCCCTGGTAGTAAGAGACAAGTAGAAAACAGACCCAGCCATCCTGACCCTGGTCTGGGATTATTTCCTTGGTGCTAGCCTTCACTCAGCTGCCTCAGTTGCTTTGTCTCTTGTTCCATGAGCATTATACCACTCTCTTCTTGTTTCCTGTTCAAACCTTTTTGAACCATAGAGAGTTTGGTCAAAGAATTAAACATGGTGTTTACCCACCTGTTTTTCTTTGCCCCAACCAATAATTCCCCAGTGCAGATAGGAAGAAAGATGGTCTCTAGTGCAATACCAGTGCAGAAAAGCCAAGCCCACTAGAAGGAAATTAATAACTCAGGCTCCAACCCAGAACATAAAAACCACTGCGTCCATTTATTCCACCTCAAATTACCCTTTGGGGAGTCTCATGACCCACCCTAAACCCACCAGGAGGGTAGTGACAGAGGGGAGCAGGAACACATGTAACACCTCTCACACCTTATGTCCTATTGTGCAGTTTTTTTAAGTTCATGTTTGTGGGTCTTGCCCCCTTTGAATAAGTTTCCTTAAAAGAACATGTGTCCCTGCAGCACTGGGAGCTTCATAAAAGAATCACAACATGGGGGAAGGTGGCAAAACAACGGTGATTGTTGACTTAACTATGGGGAAATCAGCAGACTCTTCTAATTGAGTTCATTAGGCACATAAGAAGCTTCCTGAACAATCTTGACTGCACACCAGTCCCATTTATCCAGCATGAGCCAGCTCTGGGAAGGACCTGGAAATGCCACCCAGTGGGTAGGCCCACCTGCCACCCGCCTACCGTAGCAAGCCATTATAATTATATCCAAGGTTAAAAAATTCTCCCAGTTTGAAAGAAGTCAAACTTTCTCTTGGATTTCTAACAGTGTAAATTATAATTCTGCCTTCTCAACGGAGAATTCAAAAATCTAGAGTCATCCATTTGAAGCAGGGTCTTTGGCACCTTGGTGTGGCAGGGAGTTGCTTGGCACATGCTGGCTGCAGTGAAACCATCTCACTGTTGCTAACGCCATTCTTGGACCCCTGAAGCCAGGTTTTTGAGGAGTAGCCTAAGAATAGAATGTGGTGTTTCTAGTGATAATTTTGAGCCTCCTACAAAATAGGAGTTAGGAGGAGGAAATACAGACGTGCCCATCTTTTCCCCTCCCAATTCAGAGTGGAATGAGAGTGAAAAAGTAGCTCAAGAGCTGTGTTGATGTGTCTGTGTTTAAAGGAGCAGGTGCCTCTCCTACAGAGATGAGTTACTGAGCACTTCCAGGTGTCACTACCTACTCTAAGATCTTTGGAATTGGTTTGCTGCTTTCCGGGTAATAGGAGGCAACTTTGTGAGCCTTCAAGCCTGTGTTTCCTGCCTTGCCTCTCACTACCCCAGCACAAACCCATCCTCAGCAGTGTTGCCCTTGCCTCCAAACTGGCACATGGGGTTCTTAACCTTTGAGATTCTAATGACTGAACTGCTGTACCATGCACACCAAGAATTCAAACACAGAGTTTGCCAAGAAGTTGATGGTTTCTTAGGCTGGTGAAGCCCTCCCTGGATTCCATTTTAAGAGCCCTGCCTGCCTGAAATACCTTGCCCCCAGCCTTCTCATGCTTCATCTTTCAGTCACTCTGATCCCTGTGCCACATGTGCCAAGGTCCACAGTTAGGTACTGTGGCTTCCTCTTGCCCTGTGCATTGTCACTGCAGTGACGCTCCATCCTTCCTGCCACACCTGCCCTGTCAGTCAGCCTGGTGACAGACAGTTCCTACCTCACATCTTCACTGCTGCTGTTCCACAGCTCTGCCATACTGAGGTATGATTGGTTTTCAGTGCATGTGTATCTTGTCTCCTCAGCTTGACTGCCATCTTCTCCAGAGCCAAGCAAGGTCTCCTTTATGTCCCCTACCTGAGCACTTTTTCTGTAGTAGGTGCTCAAGAAATGGATATCCAATTGAGTTGAAGGAGTAAGCTCCGTAACAGAATGAACTCTTTTCAGAAGTTCATTACCAAGTCATGAAAACCTCTTTTCATAGATCCTCCTGGACCAAATCCAGCTCTACCTTAATTAGCAATGCAATTTACAGCACCCATTCCCAAAAATGCTTATGCATCTCTTTGTGTGACTAGAATAGGGGCCACTGTACCAATTGCTGTCACCACCCAAAATTCAATTTTGAAAATCGAAATCAGTGCCTGCGGCACTGATGTAGATTTGTATGTATAAAAGTTTAATATGGTAAAGAGAAATTTACTGACGACTGAGCAGGGGAAATGCAAAAGGAGCAAAAATAGAGCTAGAAAGGACACTTTGTCAGTTAAACATCTATTTTATTCACACTTAGGGAGCAGTGCTGAATTTTTCATAATGTCCCTACGGCTGCCTCTTTTAAACCGAGCACTGCTATTAGTCCCAAAATGTCTGTAATCTCATTAGGTGTAAATGCAAAATCAGGTAATTTAAGGCTGTGTATAAGACTTCCTAAAAATGCACAGTGCATTTCATCAGAAAAACTATAAACTCAGAAATGTGCTGGAATCTATGAATAAAGTGTAAGATGTAGGTATATTCTGAAACTCTGGAATTAACCAAGTATCTCCATTGATAACCTTTTAAATAGTAAACAAGACTTTTTAATTGCTGAGCTTGGGTTAGGTGTGACTGGGAATCCAGAATTGGCTCTCTTTCCTTAGGCGGTAAGAATTTGCTAGAAATTGGTATATTTTAAACTACTATCATCTACACTGAACTACTTTTAGAGCTTCCTGTAGACACCTTCTGACCTCAAGTGGGAAATTAGACAAGGTCATTTTTAGGACTGGTAAGTGCTTGGTTCTTTCCCAGGTGAGAACTGAGCTCCAAGCATTATGTCAACTATCTAGAATCAGAATCTCAATCTCATCTCTTTTCTCTTCCCTTCTCTTCTCTCTCTCACTTGCTTGTTCATTTATCTTTTTGAGACAGTCTCACTATATAGCCCAGGCTGTCTTTGAACTCAGCCTTCCTAATTCAACGTCCCTATGGCTGGGATTTCCAGATGCCACCAGGCCCAGCTAAAAGATTCTTTTAACAAAGAGGGATATTTAAGAATTGAGTGTCACTGTGTTTCTGCACTCTGGCCTTGTGCAGTTTGCTCTCCCAGGAGCGGTGCTCTGCAAGAGTAGCCCCCTTCCTCCCTCTGCACCCCTCTTGTCCCATCAGAGGTGGGAAAGAAGGATAACACCCTTTGGCCCCCAGGGATGTGGTAAAGAGATAATGGAGTAGTTGGAGTAGGAGCAGGGCAGCTTCTGTTAGGGAAACTTCTGAGGTTCAGAACTGGTCAGAATGCAAGTTTGATCAGGATGCAGTGCTGGAGGCCAAGAAAGGTGCTGGGAAACAAGGCACTGGCATAGGATGTCTCTCCTAGGAAGTTAGGAAGGTATATATGAGCACCCACCAGAAGAAGACCGGGTATTCACTTCGTAGACACCAAGGGCCATACAGGCCAGGTCCAGTTCCCCACTGTCTCATACTGTAGGAGTGTCCAGCGCCACACTCCTATAGTATGCACCAGCCACTCTGGCCTGCTTACTGCTTCCTGACTGTGTTCCCTAGGCTGTGCTTCAGCTGGTCCTTGCCTGGAGCATCCTCCTTCCTCCTTGGCTTTTTTTTTTTTTCCCTTGGTTCTGGGGTTTGAACTCAAGGCCTACACCTTGAACCACTCTACCAGCCCTTTTTTGTGATGCATTTTTTCAAGACAGGGTCTCACAAACTATTTGCCCGGGCTGACTTCAAACTATGACCGTTCTAATCTCTGCTTTGTGAGTAGCTAGGATTACAGGCTTGAGCCACCAGCGCCTGGCACTTCCCCTTTTCAGTCTATGCGGTCGGAGCCTTTGTTTGCTACTACAGCTGCCTGCCACTAATAATCGTAACAAGCTCTAATCCCTTTCTCCAATGTTCCAGGCCAGAATTTGGAGAAGTTCAGGCATTACCTCATTTACCCTCACAACACCCTCAGAAGTAGGGGCTATTATTATCTATTCTTTTAAAAGAAAGGTTAAGTTGGCCAGTATGCCTTAAAAATGGCAATGCATGAAAGACAAAGACAGGCGAGGAACTGTCCTGGGTTAAAGGACACTGAGGTGCACGACAGGGAGATGCAGCAGGTGGTCCTCTGTTCTGTAAGGGCTGTACTGAGATGGTGGCTACAATTGGAATGTGGACGGTAGATTAGATAATAGTGTTACATCAATGTTAGATGTTCTGAATGTGATCATTGAACCGTGGGCACAAGAGACTGTCCTCATTCTCAGGAAATACACACTAAATTATGGGGTAAAAGGACCTTTTGCTCCTCTAATAGATCAGAAGAAAAATTAAGTGTGTATAGATGATGATAAAGCAAATGAGCCAATTTTTTTAAGAGTTGGGGGGATCAAGTGACTTGCCAAACATCCCCATAACTGGTGAGCAATGGTGCCAGGATTCTTCCTGGGCAGTTGACCTCCATTCTCCCTCAGCTCTGGAGGCACTCACTCAACTGAGTGGCCCATACTCATACCCAGGCCACACTTACAGGCTATCCATGAATGTCTGTTGGATTTGTAAGTGAACAGTCTGCACAAGTGTGAAGAAAGCAAGCAGAAAATTAAGTATAATTATCTTTTTTTTTTTTTTTGGTGGGACTGAGGTTTGAACTCAAGACTTCATACTTGCAACACAGGTGTTCTACTACTTGAGCCACACCTCCAGTCCATTTTGCTCTGATTATTTTGAAGATGGGGTCTCACCAACTGTTTGACCTGGCTAGCCTTGAACTGTGATCCTTCTGATCTCAGGCTGGCAGAGTAGCTCAATCAGTAAGAGCACCTGCCTAGTAATCTTGAGGCCCTGATTTCAAACCCCAGTATCACCAAGAAAAAAAATCCTCTGAGCCTCTGAAGTAGCTAGAGCTGCAGGTGTGAGTCACTGGCATCCAGCTGCAGTTATCTTTTGATGAGCTAAATAATACTCGTTAAGCCATCATACCAGTTCTAATCTTTCTTTTTGTTACTTTATCTCTGTGGTGGCTCTTGGTTGCCTGTGCCTGCTGAAGAAGTGATGTGTCAAATGCACTTCTCCAAGGCATGGGCTGCTGACCTCTGTCCCACTGATGTTTCCTGGGGAGAGCTGCACATGGAGACACTAGCCTCACACTTCTCCCTCCATTTCATACACTCCAATAGTGCCTTTGATTACTATTCAGAGGACACTGGCTCTCCTCACGTGGCTTCCTGGGCATTCTCATGGTGAGCAGCCTGAGCAGGGGTGGATCAGGTGGAATGAAATCATGGGCCATCAGCTTCGTTTGCTGAAAGTGGAGACCTCATTTGACATGCACACAGAGGCAGAGCAGGGCTGCCTTATTAAAACGCTTAACTCTTGATTTATTTATATGTTCTGTCTTCTTCAAGAAAGGATGTAAGTCAGAAAAAGCCCATCACTTGAATTGTGAAGGAAAATACAATAGAGAAAGTTTTGTTCTGGGGTCTTTCCAGCATCTTAGCAGAAAAATAGCAAGAGCAGAAGAAGATTATGACGGTATGAAAGGGGAAAAAAACACTTCTTATCCACATGTGGCCTGTATTCCCAACATTTCCCAGCACACCGCTGTGGTGGGCACCCAGAGAACTTAGTATTTCTCCTTTCTGTCCACAAGGGCCTCAGTGTGTGGACTGAGTCTCCATCTTGGTCCTCTGTTTGCCTGCCTCTTCTGAAACACTGCCTTCTGCATTCTTTCCTTATTATAGACATTCAGCAGCTCCACACCTACCACAGATGAAAGTCCTAGTGATTGGGATTAGAAAGGGGCTTTCATAAAAGAATCTGTATTTAATACACTTCAAATTGACCATTTAATTCAAAAGGCTTTCTCTTAGCCCAGGCCCTCTTACTTGTACACTCTAGCCCTCAGACAGATTGGGCATCTGCAGCATACGTAGCCTCATGCATTCCTCTAGAGGGAAGGCTCTCTCCTTCCTCCTTCTGTACACTGGCCATTCGAGTTCACGGGGGCTCTGCTCTGAATTCCTAGAGCCCACACTCCCCCTAGCGTGCCCTTTCCACCTGCAGCTGGCATGGTTCATGCACCTGAGCCACAGATGCTCAGCATGGTTGTTTCTGTGGATGGATCAGGTTTTCTTCGGGTTGGGAATTGATGAGGTAGAGCTATTCATTTAAAAAGGTGACATCCCACAGCAGGACTGGAGGCCAGGTTTACCTCCCAGAGTGGAGACACCAGTGCAGCTTCCTGTGAATGCCGTTATTACACATGGCTCTCCCTCAAAGGTAGACACAGTGTGGGGAAGGACTCCCTTGCTCATTTCTGTGGGGGCACTTTGTCTTTCAGATTGCAGAGCCAGAGGCCTGTGACCAGATGTATGAGAGCTTAGCACGACTCCATTCAAACTACTACAAACACAAGGTGAGTGGGCTGCATTCTTTTCTATCCCAGCCCCTGATGGTAGGACCAGTAACAATGAGTGAAACTCTGATTATACAGTGTTTAATAAAGAATTGTGAGTTTTCTACTTTGAGATGTAACCAGCAATTTCAACCAAGCCAACCATGGTGCCTGGCAGAAGCTTGTAGGTCACCTAAATAAAAGCTATTTAAAATTATGAATAAAAGCCATGTTTTGTATGCCAGTGTGTGCTCCTGGTAGTTCTGGCACCACTGGATCTTAATACATATTTTCCTGTTCACTCTCATAGAACTGACACTTTATACTGTGATAAAGATGGGATTACTGGAAAGTTCCATCAGACAAACCTGTACTTCTCCTCAGCCTTGACATGATTACTGTCAAATTCCACTTAGTGTAGTTTTTCCCAGACTTGAAAAACGTGTTCGGTGACTTCTCAAATAGGGCCAAATGGAAAGCCTGCATGCAAAAGTGATTCCTTCTAAATCCTCTACTCAGAATGTGGTCCTTGAGCAGCAGTGTGAGCTTCGTTTGGGAGCCAGTTAGGAAGGCAGAGTTGCCAGGCCCACTTCTGAACCAGCCCTTTCCAGAGGATTTGTGCATATCTTAGAGTTAGAGCTGTCTACTCCATGGTCCTGGTTCTTGCAGGGCCTCATTGTGACCTCCAGGTGGCGCCACTCTTCTTTCCAGGCCTGACCTCTGATGCTCGGAGCCCAGATGAACTGTGATAGAACAAGACTGGTGTGCTGCAGAACTAATGCCCTCTTCTTTTTCTCCTGCCCCTGTGCCAGTACCCTCGTCCCAGAGACACCAGCTTCAGTGGCCTGTCTGTGGAAGAGTATAAGCTGATCCTGTCTACAGGTATTGAAAGCACAGCTGCTTTTTCTGGTTGGTTTGCAAATGATGCTTTGAGTTTGAGAGGCCATGGGGAATTATCTAATAAGACAGTTCTGCAAGATGGAAAGCCTTGTGGAATAGCTGAAAGAAAATTCCAAAGCTACAGGGTTCATGCTTTTGAACTATAGAATGTAGAGAAGGTCAAAGGCATTATTTAGAAAAGAAAATCCATCTTTAGTACTTTTAAATTCAAGACTGGGCAACAGGGATCAGGGGAATACATATTTGCCAAATGGAAGTCGTTGAAATCAAGATGGAAGGAAAATAATTTTATTTTTATAGTCCTGAGGGGGCTTTATAAACAATAAGGGTTTTAATTAAAACAAAAACCATTCAATAAATGAGTATGGGGATATCCGCCTATGAGTTATCTGACCCAAAGGACATGGCCTATGGGTTAGATACAGGTCTAACTAGGTATGTTTTGGAGTCATCGTTAAATCCTAGATAAGAAGAAAGGAAACCCCCTGCCCATCCAGCCCCTCCTTACTTCCCCATCTCATTGTCACTGAAAGCGGAGGTGGCAGGAAAGCCAGGATCAAAGTAGGCAAGTACTGGAAAATTACTATTTTTATTGCCAAGGATATTGTATACAAAAATAGGCTTTTTCTGATAGGGCATGACCTTGAAATATTTGCTGTCTAGTACTCTAGAAATTTCTCTTTCCTTTTCTTTTGGCAGCCTTCGGCAACTAAGTTTTGGGGATTTGACTTTCTAAAAAACTCTTACCCTTCTGAACAGATTAAACTTGGTGGTGCCACCTTCTGTTGCGTGTTAATTCTCAGGAAAGCTGAGGTGAAAAGGCATTGGCCAAGTAGAATCACTTTGTGGGCATTTTTTTTTTTTTTCCTATTGTAAAAATTTTCTTCTACTCCATGGGTCCATGTAATTACCAGCACTGATGACAGTGACATTGTGAGGGCCCCAAAGAGTTTGAGCAAAGTTGTTTTTTGTACTTGTTTTGTTTGATGGTCCTAGGGTTTGAACTGAGGGCCTTGCCTGTGCTAGGCAGGCACTCTACCACTTGACCCTTTTTGCTTTAGTTATTTTTCTAATAGAGTCTCATGTTTATGCCTGGGATGGCCTAGACCATAATCCTATTTACACTTCCCACACAGCTGGGGTAACAGATGTATGACATCATGCCCAGCTTCTATTGATTGAGTTTGGGGGTGTCAGGAACTTTTTCATGAGCTGGTCTCAAGCTACTATCCTCTCAATCACCACCTGCCGAGTTTGAGCAAAGTTTGAGCTTGAAGTGAGACTGGAAGTAAGTTTCAGAGGCTCTGCCTCTACCCTTTTGTTAACTATCAGGGAAGCTTCTGTGAGCAAGGGCAGTAGGCAGCACAGAATCCTGGGGGATGCCCTCCCTACCAGTGGCCCAGCACTGCAGCTTGTTCCAGTTAGTTCAGCCCCAGGAAATTTGCTGATAAATTGTTTTCACAGCAAGCCTCATATTTTTGTTGCAACCCTGTGAAGTAAGTTTACCAAGTGTTTCTCTGATGGGGCAGGAAAAGACATGCCGCACCATTAGAAAGAGGCTCTGAGGGCCAGGTAGCTCCCAAGTGTAGCCACAGTCTGCATTACAAGTGAGTCCAAGCTGGTTGCCAGTGGCTCATGTCTGTAATCCTAGCTACTCAAGAGGCAGAGACTAGGAGGATCACCATTCAAAGCCAGCCTGGGCAAATAGTCCAAGAGATCCTATCTCAAAAAAGCTCATCACAAAAATGGGCTGGTAGTGTGGCTCAAGGTTGAGGCCCTGAGTTCAGACCCCAGTACTGCAAAGGAAAAAAAGCAAGTGAGTCCACCCTGACTTGGGGTCCTGGAAAGTGCCATGTAGGTGCACAGGGATCCTGCATTGTCTTGCTCTGTACCCCACACAGGAACCTGAACTTCTGGATAAGTCCCAGGGCCAGAGGCTGTGCTTATGGCTGAAATACAGTGTATGTCCCAATCTAATCAAGGGCCCACTAACTATAAACATTGATAAATCATGAAGTACCTCTTTTGTTCAGAAAAGCTATTCTTCTTCTCCAGAAATTTTGTTAACAGATGAAAATTCAAGATCTGAATACTAAACATATTATGAGAATATCTAAATTTAAAATAAGGTAAAATACTAATAAAAAATGTGTTAAAAAATAAATACCAGTAAAATTAGGTGTCATAGGGCTGGGTAAGGTGGTACGTGCCTATAATTCCAGCACTTGAGAGGTGGAGGTAGGAGAATCATGAGTTTGAGGCCAACCTGAGCTATATAAAGAGACATCGTCTCAAAAAACCAAGGACAGGGGGTATAGCTCAGTGGTAGCATGCACAAGACCCTGGGTTTGACGTTCAGCACCACAAAAAAGATAAAGGGAACAAAAAGAGAGAGAAAAAAATAGTATAACTGAACCTTATCCCTGGAGACTTCAGACCAGTGGTTCTCTGTTGGGGGGACATTCTGTCATCCCAGAGACATGTGGCCATGTCTGAAGGCATTTTTAGTTGTCAAAACTAGTGAGGCCAGGGCGCTGCTGGCATTAGTAAGTAAGAGACCTGGATGCTGCTAAATGTTCTACAGTGAGAAAAATTACCTGGCCCAAAATGTCAGTGATGTGCAGCCAAGAAGCCCTGCTGTGGTGTGGGGTGGGTGTGGGTGGGCGTGTTCTTAGGCACCCCGCCAGCTCTCAGCGGCCTTGCCACCTACATTGACAGTGGCTACCTTTTCATTGAGTGCCAGACAAGTCGCCTCTGTTGTTTCCTTTAATTCTCACAACTTTTGAGGTTAGTGTTAGTCTTCATTTTACAGATGAGGAACCTAACACTTAGAGGGTTGTGATTTGTTTGAGGGGCTTGGGGCCTTGAGGCGGGAAGACGTGATGGGCAGATTCAGGCCCAAGTCCACCTCCTCCCCCAGTGCTTGCTCATCTTACAGCCTACCGGGGTCAAACCATACCACTTCCTAGCTGTGTGACCTGAGGAAGTTACTTATCCTCCCTCTGCCTCAGTTTCCATATGTGAAAAGTGGAGATAGTGAGGTTGGTGTGGAGTGGGCCATGTTTGGCTTTAAAGTCATGGGTCACACACTTATACCGCAGTGCCATTTCTTTGCCCTCTCGGGGCAACAAGAAGCATGGCTTGCTTGGATGCTGAGCAAGAGGAGGGAACAGGTGTGTGCTCCATTACCACAAAGTGTGTGTCCATGTTATTCCATGTGACCTGCTTTTCAGGGGCTGGGTATAACTTCCTGTCCCTGGGCACAGTGTGGAAAGTTGAAGCATGCTCACGTTGGGAAAGCCCTGTGGCCACTGAAGTTCAGTCACGTGTTAAGACTTCAGTCAGTCTGTCTGTCTGTCTCCCTGTACAGATACCTTGGAAGAGTTTAAGGAAATGAATAAAGGCATGTGGAAGAAGCTGCAGGAGAAGTTTGCCCCCAAGGGGCCTGAGGAGAAGCATAAGGCCTGGGCCCGGGTCTTGTCTCGCCCACGTACCTGAGTGGAGTCTTGTATATTGCTGTTGTCAATAAAACCGCCTGGCTTCCCCCGACCCCATGATCTGGGACTTTTATCTGCCCTCCCAAGAGGAAGCCCTTGCTACTCTAGGAATACTATGGCCTGAGCAGGGATGACGTGAGCATCCACAGGACCAGTGGGCCAACAGAGGAAATGAGGGTCCTGTAACCTCTGAACCTGAGAAGGGGCCACTAGGGCCCTACACAAGGTACTTCCTGCATAGCCCCAGGAGCCTCTGCCTGGCCAGCAGGCTCTGCAGCCCCAGTAATAGCCTCAGGCTCTCTGTTACAGGAACAGCTTAGAGGAAGCCAGGAGCAGTGCTGAATGCCCAAAACAGCATCTTGTTGCCACAGAACACAAAAGGGAGACTGAGGGGTGCTGAAATACTGCCCAGCCCTCATCCCCGCTGACTCAAAGAACAAAGCTCGAGCCTCTGCTTCGACGTGTGCAAAACTCCGTATGCCCAGTTGGCTTAAGAGACAGCAGAGCTCTAGTCAATCTTTGGCCTCAGGTTGTAGTTGACTTCAGCACTGGGCAAGTTCTGTGGAAGGCTGCACGATAGAGGCCCTACTAGCTGGGGACATATGGTCACCTCACTACTCTATAGAACCTTGGTTCTTACTAGTGCATGCTCCCTACTTGGGTACAGCAAAGAGAAGGGGTAGGGCAGCATCAGCAGCACCCTCACTGGTACAGTGGGAGTGGGGTCCTAGGGCCTTAGGATGTTTTGAAGTGTACAGAATAAAACACAGTAGGTTGCATCGGAACTCATTGTACCGAGACAGTTCTGTGCAGGGACTCCTGTTGGGAACCATGTCAGGATAGGTGCCACTCAGAGCATCTCATGAGACCCCCAGAGAGGCCAGGCCAATGGAGAAGGGTTCATGCTTTGTCATTTGTCAGGTAACAGTGGTGCAAATTAGCCCCACCGCCCTCTGGGAAATGCAGAAAACACAAGCCTGTTTAGTGGAATAGGTTTCTATTAATTTATTTAAGGCAATTACCATATTAGTTTTCAGGACACATAATTTGTAAAACATTACATCAAAAGGAGAAAAAAAACAGCCACTCTCACACAACTCAGTCCTTGTCCCCTGGATATATTTTTCCCAGGAAACCCAGGGAAGGCAGGTCCCAGGAGCAAGGCTGTCCATCCTTGAATCAGTAGGCCACCTGAACAGGTCAGTAAGGTCCACACACTGCACATACAGGGGCACAGAGGGAGCTGCACAGCCTCAACAGGGCTGGACATGGCCCCTCAGAATAAGTTAAATAACAAAGCCTAACATTGCTAATAACAGCATTACTGCTACCTCCCCAGAGGTAGGCAGCAACCAAAATGTAGTGCTTGGAGATAAAGAGGTGACCCCACTCCTAACCACCTGAGAGGACTACAGAGGAATGTCAGTTACTGCTTCGAAGGACAAAGGTCTCAAGGACTTATTTTCCTCTAAGGCATTGTGGTAAACTGAGTCCCAGGGGACTCTGAGTCTCTTTTTTAAGAGCTCTAGGCAGGACTGTCAGCTCTGAAGCTCCGCTCTTGATCAGAGCCTAGGCTGGTGAGCTGGGGGACTAGCAGAGTGGGAGCAGGAGGCTGGGTGGGCACCTGGCCTTGAGAGGCTGGCAGGCTGGCCAGGCCACCCAACACCAGAAGAGGGACAGGGCAGCATTGTTCCCAGTCACAGTCTCCAGTGGTAAAGCCCCTACTGGGGTTTCGATGGCTCTCCTCAGCGGCTCATGCAGTTCTGGACATCCACAAAGCCCAGGCGTTGCCTGCGTTTCCGCTGCTCTGTCATCTAGGCCAAAAGGTGCCTGGTCAGGCCACCCAGCGCACCCTCTGTGGCACTGAGTGGGGGCTGCCCCTTCACCTTATGGGCCCAGCTGCTGTTCAGCACAAGTGACAGCCAGAGCCCCTCAGGGTGCTGTGCAATGTCAACTTCAAACCCACACTCTCAATTAGCACGTCGACCCCCTGGTTTGGCGCAGCTTGGCAGCCACCCCACCCCCCAGATGGACTGTCTAGTCATGCGATCCCTGCCAGATGCAGAGGAGGACCCTCTGGTAAGGGGTTTAAGAAGCACAGGATGCCTCGGTCCCCATCACCAGTGGACCCTTGGAAGGACAGTCTTAGCAGCTGGCAGGGGAAGGTACATAGATGACAAGGGCCTCACACCTGCACCAAGGTGCAACATGGCCTTGTCTTTCAGGGGCCGCAGAGGGGAGTATTTGGAACCTGCCTTTACATCCCAGGCCAGGAATGGAGGCTCCAGCACCTAACCCTCCACCCACATGGCAGCTGAGGCTTCCTGTGGAACCCCAAGGATAGAGGGGTGGAACAGGGCAACACACACATACCTGCTCTTTGAGCTCGTTGAGCTGGGTGGTGAGGTGAGACACCAGCTTCATGGTGGAGCTGAGCTTGTCCTGGAGGATCCGGATCTCATTCTGCTCTCCCTCGCCCTCATTGCTCACCAGGGACATGGCCCGCATCCTCGGGAACCAGTCCAGGTTCTTGTTCTGGAAGAGATCATTCAGGGGATGTGACAGGCCCAGCAAGGCTTTGCTTAGGAAAACAGTGATCTGGGGGAGGCTTTGGCTACACCCTTGGCCAAATTACTTGCTAGGGATGTGTCATGGGAAAATCTGAATTGACCTTGGTCCTCCCTGGGCCAGAGGGAGCTGGCAGCTAACCCCTGCCACCATGGCTCTGCCACCATGACAAGCTGCCTTCCATTACTCGGCTGATCAACAGAGTCTGAGTTCTTCACTGCTATCAGTACCATCTGTTTACTGTGACACCCTCAAAGGTGCAGGGAAGGCCACTGCACCCAGACCAGAATCTCCTTCCTTCCTTCCTCCCTCCCACCTAACCCTGACACACGCCCCACACTTCAGGAAGATTCGAGTCAGACAGATGGCAAACTGAGGAAGCAGGCGGCTCTGCAGAAGAGGACTGGCATCTGACACGTGTCTGAGAGGCAGAGCCACAGTTCCTGGGCCAGGCAGGGGAGGGAGGAGAGGTACCAAGCAGTTCTGTGGTTCCTTGTCACAAGTGTGAATTCTCAGGCCAAACCTCTTTTCAAAGAGCAATTCAAAATACAAATGTAAAAGACAAAACCTTTTCTTCATTGCCTTTGTGACTATGGAAATTGGACAGATTATATTTAATTCCTTTAAGCCTGATTTTTTTCCCCCCAGTACTGGAGCTTAAACTCAGGGCATTGTAGCCTACCACTTAAGCCATGCCCCCAGTCCTTTTGCTTTTAGCATTTTTTGACATAGGGTCTTGCACTTTTGCCCAGGTCAGCCTCAGACCACAATCTTCTAACCTTTGCCACCTGTGAAGCTGAGATTACAAGCATGAACCACAACACCCAGCACTAAGCCTGACATTCTAAAGTATCCCCAGGCTCCCTCTCAGCCCAGGACCATCCAGACTTCAGGAAGCTACTCCACTTTTGTTAAAGTAAAAAAGGCCCCTCAGAATGACCACAGAGCAACAGCCCTGCGCATGGGCAAGGTCTCCCCTCTCCAGCGCCACTGCATCCAAGGCCACGGGATGTCACGCTCATCCTTCCTGGCTGGCAGGTTTGCCATGGGTTTGTTCTCCTGATTCCCAAAAAACCAAAGCAGCCCCTCCATATTAATGGGCACTTGGCAGGATCTGCACAGCTAAGAGTTGGCACCAGCTGTGCCTCACTCCCCTGCTGACCTTCAACAAGTATCTGCAGCTGTCCCACCTCCAGGCCCAGAGGATGCGGAAATAGTGGCCATGAAGGTCAGTGATGCACAGTGGCTTGGACTCTAGCAGGTCCAGCTTGGCCCTCACCTTGATCATCTGGGCCACGTAGCTCTCGGGGCCTGTGTAGTCCGTCTTGTTCTTCACACGCACCAGCACAATGAAGTACAGGTAGTTCCACATGTTGTGCTCCAGCTTGATGTGCTCCTCGAAGGACACCGTCTTGTTGTCAAACTTGTCCCTCTCCAGACCTGATGGACCAGGGCAAGAATAAAGCCATGGCCTCCAACAGTCACCATGGGCCACCCAGTGGAAGGGACATTTGTTCTCGTGGGGACCACTTCTGACAGCTCACTCTGGGCTGTGTAGGTCACTCTATTTAAAGCACCAACCACTTAGCCAGGGAGCTCCTGCCCTGCCTGCTGCAGCTGGGAACTCTAGGAGCAAATGCCAGAATCCCCGAGCCCGGGGGCAAGAAGAGGTGAGTAAGGAATGATGTGTCCTGCAGGTGACTCCTGCTTCTTGGTCTCAGGTCACTGGCAAGGGCATTACCAGCATTGGGAAGAGTACTGGACTGAAACCAGAAACTCAAGGCTACTGACAGCCATGGGTTCCCCATCTGTAACCCAAGAGGTTTGAAGCAATGGTTTCTGAGGGCCCTGCCCACTCCCTGCTGTCTCCAAGTGTAGGCAAGGCCACGCTCTCCTCACTTTTGGGACAGGCAAGGAACCTGCAGGCCATCCACCCAGGGGTTTCCCAGAGGCTACACTGGGGCACTGTTGGCCTCAGAAGATGCCCAGCTGTGCACAGGCCTCACCGCAGATGAAGCACGTGGTCTTGAGGATCTCCTCTTTCTTCTGCTTCTCACTGCGCAGGTCAGCGAAGGTGTCAATGATCACTCCAAAGATGAGGTTCAGCACAATGATGATGACAATGAAGAAGAACAGGAGGTCATACACCACCCGGGCTGGGAACAGAGACTCCTGCAGGAGTGAGGCATCAAGGCTGGGCCCAGCGTCCCCAAGCTTATTGGGCAGGACAGGACTCAGGCAGTGGGTCAAGGGCTATGGTCATGGCAGAAGGAAACGAGAGCCTTTGGCTGTAGGGGCCATGGAGATAGCAGGAGACCGCATCTGGCCCCATGGGGCAAGAATTACAACTAGAAATCTCAAGTTTGGATTTGGACAAGGCAGGGTACCACAAGGAAGCCCACAGAAGTTTGAATTTGGAATGGAGAGCTTGGGCTACAAGTTGAGTCTTGTTTCTTTCCCTAACTTTGGTTAGAAGAAGAGC